TCAGTGATTTCCTACCAATGACCCTGGTCACAGATCAGCTTTTCGTAATAGAAATGGTGGACCTATCGTATCCATGATAAGTGTGCAGAAACGAAAATTGATTGGGGGAATCTAGTTCTTACAGTAGTTTTCCAGTGGACGAAAATGCAATACAACAAAATTTTACACACGAAATATTTCATTCCACGACACAATTTTATTTGCTTACATAAATCCTCAAAATTTCGCAAGTATGGCGTATCGAAAGAAGATTTCGACCCGCGGTTTGTGTTGCGCCACATCCACACGTCTAAGCCAGAACCCATACCTGGATCACTGTGGCGTTCCTTTGCCGAGAATGGATTCCCTACAGTAATACGGTGTAGGTTCCTTCCCTTAGTCATTTCTATGCCAGGAACGATTGAACGGCTATGTTCGGGATACAATTATGTTAAGATCAATTTGTAGACTTGAAATAACTGGTATGCAACATGATCATGGATAGGTTTAAATTTGATTCCACAAGTTATCTTGTCTTATCTTATCTTATCTTATCGGGATTACCACCATGCCCCCTCAAATGAATACGCAGCAAGGTGTGGTTCATTTTGCGCACATTCCTAGCCGCTGCACGTGTTGGTGAGTTCAGTTTTCCCTTTGACTCAGTGAACAGTATGAGTTGAAATAAGGATCTGTGGGTAAGGAGTTACAAGTGTTTGCTGATCTCCAATGGTTTCACATCCGTAGATTACTTCGCTAGAAAGGGTTCTGTGGGTTGATGTCATCCTTCAATTCAGTCATGTTCCAGGTCTGAGGAGCTTCATCGTGAAAACAACTGTTTCGGGGCTATCCAGCCGTATGCCTATTATGACTTCACGAATAATTATCACTGTCCTCATACTGACTAAGGTCATCGTCTGGGGAGAGGAGCCATGTTCGCCATGGATTTGGAATATCGAGACTGAGAAGTGCTACGTAAAATTTTGCGATCTACTAAAACCAGATGAAGCTGAAAAAATCTGCAAAAAGTACAATGGCCAATTGCTTACTATATGCAGTGAGGAGGAGAACAAATTCGTTGCAGACCTTGCACGCAATCATCCAAGAGAGGATGGAAAATTGCATGGTACATGGATTGGGCTGAGACGCGACTCCACTAGAAGGAAATGGATATGGAGGAGCGGTTCCACTTGCGAATATCGCAAGTGGGCTTTTGCTGAACCAAATGATGTTACCTTTGATGAAGACTATGGTCACCTCTGGGTCTATAAGCCGAATGAATACCGTCACTGGAACGACTACCGAAACGAGCGGTCCCGTGATTTTATGTGTGAAGCGCCCTACTGTCCTTTGGACAATTAATATGTTAAATAAAAAAGTCAGATACAAACTCTGTATATTACAGCTCGAGTGGTAGCGCAGCTATTCCAATTCAGCTCCACAAATACCGAATATGCAAAAGCACATTCAGCATAGTATCATCTGAAATAACTCGGTAAATATACGGCTCTCAACAAATGAGGCTTTACTGGTCTTTTATGAGTCAGTCACTAGAGGTAACAAAGTTTGAAAATAAAAATTGTAGGCACAAAGAAAACATGCACTTTTACCTCAGTGAAAAGAAGCGAATGGGTTTCGCTAAGTAGTACCATGGCATAGACATCGTTTACTCGAAGTTGAAGCTACATGATGATGAAAGGTGGAACAGAGCAACCCATTAAGTATACAGTAGCTTATGGAGATGCCTCTGACTTCATCGATCAAACAACATTCAGGTTCCGCCATTTGCTTAGAATTGAGTAAGTATCAACAATGTGTAAACAACCATAATCTGATGAAGGAAATAACAACAAAATCAATATGATATCCGAAATATATTCTTGGAAACATTGAATAAAGTAACTTCCATCCAGCTGACTTCTTGGCCAACCGTGACGACCTCACACGGCTTGATTCTCTTACGCATCAAGCGTTTTCTTTTCGTGTACAAGGACAGTTCCCCCCCCCCC